TCAAGAGCATGGTTTGGTAACATGTCAATATTTGGAACCCCTGAGGGGTCTAAACTAACCTGTTGACTGGGGTCTCCAGGTGTGTCCACAGAGGGATTACCATCTAGCACAGTCCCCTGGGTATAAGAGATGCTCTGCTCAGAGACACAGTAGAAAGTTTCACGTGTGGTAGCCTGAAGTGAACTATTTTGGAGAGCGTTGTTTTTGCTCTTGCGAGCTTCAAGTATTTTGCGTCTCTCTTTAGCTGGTAGGCGAGCTCTCTTGTTTTGAAACCAGTTAGAAATTACATCAATAGAACAACGGACTAGGTTAGCCAGTTCTCTTCTGGTTGCAAAATCAGGGTACGGGTCTTCAGAAAAGCTCGTATTAAGTATGGTCAGTTGTTCCGAATCAAACAGACATCGGTTTCCTTTTCCTTGTTTGGATTCAGATCCAACTAATTTCTTCGTTAGAGATCTATTGGAATCCATTGTTGATCTCTGTTCCAGGACCTTTCAAAGTGACAAAATGATGTCCTCTAGATCAATGTTGTAAGTTGGTGTCCCTAGAAAAACAAAACCAGTGAAACATATTATATATGTATAGTTATCTCTAACATATGACTTCACCACTGCACCCTCATATCTCCCCAGTCTAAACTGGTTCTCGGCAGGTGCTGGAGTTGGTTCTGGCATGCACATCAGAATGAAACAAAGCCTTCTCCTGCACTATCCACATAATCATCCTGTTGAGCCCTTAAGGCCTTTCTCTTTGTAATTGACCCTCATGAGGAACCTGTACATAGACATCAGGCAGTTCTTCCACACAGAACAAAGACACTTAATGATTTACAATTAGGAAATGTAAGTTTCAGTGTTTTAAATTTAGGAAAGGTGTGCACCAGGGTTGTGCTCATTCACCATATTTATTCAATCTGCATGTTGAGTAAAAAATCTGAGAATCTAGATTATATGAAGAATCTTGCTTGCTGAAAGCAAAAAGGACTTAATATTCTAACTGCTAAAAATCAAATACTACAGCCTTTGTTAGGAGCTCTGATAGCGTAGTGGTTACGAATTGGGCTGCTAACCTCATGGTCAGCAGTTCGAAACTACCAGTTGTTCTGCAGGATAAAGATGTGGCTTTCTGCTCCTGTAAAGATTTACAACCTTGGAAACCTTGTACAGGGTTGCTATGAGTTGGAACTGACTCCATAACAGCAACAGCCTTTGTAATATGTGGCAACCCAAATTAAGAAAGCAAAACACCCGGACTAGACCAATAAATAACATCGCGATGAGTGGGCTAAAGAGTAAATTCTCTAACAATTTGCTTTGCTTGGATCCACTGTAAACACTCATGAAAGCAGCAGTTAAGAAACCAAAAGATGTTTTTTAAAAAAAAACATCTGCTGAACAAAACCCTCTTTAAATTATTCAACAGCAAAGATGTCAGTTTGAGAACTAAGGTGTGGCTAATCCTATCCATGGTACTACTTGTTAAGTGCCATTGAGTCGGTTCCAACTCATAAGTGATTCTGTATAGGGGTTCCAAGGAGGGGCTGGAATTTAAAATATTGACCTGTCAGTTCTAACCAACTTTGCAGTCCAACGCATTAACCCGCAGAGAAAAACCAGGATTCCTTTGTCCCTGAAGAACATCATACTTGGTAGAATGGTGATGGTGATGTGCCGTGGAGTCGGCACAGGCTTTCCAAGGCTGTAAATCATTACGGGAGCAGAAAGCTTCATCTTTCTCCCTCAGAATAGCTGGTAGTTTCGAACTGCTGACCTTGAGGTTCTCAGCCCAATTCATTACGACTATGTTACCAGATCTCCTTATTGGTAGAGTAGTTGTTTGTTGTTGTTAAGTGCTGTAGATTGGGTTACAACTCATGGCAACC